TCTAATGTTCTATGATTCTGAAAAGGGACTTAATTGGATATTGTTTTATATTCCGTTCTGAATATCTTGACTTCTCCACCACACTGTAAACTTGTTGAGAACACAGGCTATATATCTGATAACCCTGATGTAACTTTTATAATTATAGGTTGTTGGGAAAGTTGTGACACATTCTTCTGTAGAAAAACATAGAAAAATACATCACGATTTTCCCGACAGCCTGATATTTAGCACAATGCTAGACACATAAGAGATGTGCAGGAGAAAGTTCAGCCCGGACTCTGTGGCACAGCGGTAGCCTGCTAGGCTGTGGAGCTATAAGCTATGTGCCCACCATTGGGGGATGCTTTCTCTCTCTCTCTCTCTCTCTCTGGCAAGCACACATGACATCTGCCAATGTAACACTTAAAAAAAGAGAGAGAGAGCCTAGTTTCTCCAACAGGCCAGTTTTTTTTAGGAGAGATTTTTGCTATAGGGTGCGTGTACTCTCCAGAGAGACAGAAAGCGAGCAATCATCCCCTGGGGTGGGAGGGCGATGATCACACTGCAATCCCTTCTCCACTCTCCTTTCAGGATTTTGTGTAGGTATGCACACGCACCACAGTGAGTTTTAAACTGCCAGGTCTGGGACTCGAACCGCAGTCACTACGTGGGAGTCCAGCGATATAACCATTATACCATCTGCTGGTTCCCAAACAGACTATTTTAATAGGCATGAAATCCCCTCAGTGTTAATCCTTATAGTTAAAAGTAACCTAAAATAACCTGATGTAAATAATTCGTTGCTTTCCTATTGTTCTTTCTCTGGGTCCAGACTTTACAAAGAAAGTAGCTGAAATGACCAATTTGCTTTTTGGGTTCCTTGTTTCTTCTTCTTCTTTATTTTTTTCAGCCCCTCTCTGTCTATAAAACCAGTATCTTCTGCTTGATTCATCCTTCTGTTCTATGGAATAAAGTGTTGCCTGATTCTAGAATTGCAGATAAAGTCAATTAAGATTTTTTTTTTTTGAGAGTTTTTTTCGCTATAGGGCGCGTGTGCTCGCCAGACAGACAGAGAGAGACAGAGAGATAGAAAGCGAGAAATCACCCCCCAGGGGGGATGGTCACGCCGCAATCCCTTCTCCTCCATTCTCCTCTCGGGATCTTGGGCACGCACGCACACGCGCCCGGCGTGAGTTTTAAGCCACCGGGTCCGGGACACGAACCGCGGTCGACTACGTGGGAGTCCAGCGACATAGCCATTACGCTAACTGCTGGTTCCCAAGTCAATTACGATTTTGAAACTAAATTGTAATTTTTCTTTTGACACGATGCAAGTTTTTCTAGAAGCTTCTTATTTAGAAAAAATAATTATTCTAGCTAATCAGGTGATAAGTTTTTAAGAAAGCATTTCATTTTTCACACCCTTTATATTTTTAAAAAAGAATAACTTATTTATTTAATTTTATTTGTTAATATTATTTCTTAATTTGATTAGGAGAAAGCAAACCACCAGGCCCGGGACTCAAACTGTGGTCTACCGTGTGGGAGTTCAGCACCTTAACCACCACATCACTTGGTGACCCCATATACCCTCTATATTTAAGATCTCTGTGGTTTCCTATCCTCTACAACTCTGGTTTTTGGAGTCTTAAGGGAGATTTTTCAGGGTCAGGCAAAAATTAAGAGATTGTGATGCCTCATCTATGAATTTTTCATTTTCTTTCTTCTTTTTTTTTTTTTTTTTAAATTCACACAGGGGCCCCGTTTACTGGAGAAAGGCAGAGAGGAAGAAAGAGTGAGAGAGGGAGGAAAGTGAGAAAGCACTCCCCAGGGGAATGGTCACACTGCAATCTCTCTCCTTCATTTCTTCCTCCTTTCCAGAGGGATTTGGGGCACCTATGTGCCTCCACCCTACATGTCTCTCAAACCCCTGGGAATAGGACTCGAACAGTGCAGTCGGCCATATGGGATCCAGCAACCTTTACCACCGTGCCACTGGCTGGGGTTCTATCTCATTGTCACATCATTTTCATGCACTTTCTTACTTCGTCCTGCAGCTCTGAGACTAGCTGGAGGGGCAAGAAATGTTAAATCTTGAGAACTCTTATTCTGGCACCCACAGTTCTTGTAGCATACCCATGTTTCAGTCCTGTAGGCGAGCAAGTCACAGATAGCAGTAGTAGCACCATCTGGGAACCTGGTGGAAATGCAGAACCTCAGGCACAACCCAGACCTCCTGAAGTGGAATCTGCATTATATCAAGACCTGCAGGCATTCATTCAAGTTTGAGAACACTGATCTTATGCAGGGATTCAAATGAAAGTTAATGAGCTAATTATCTCCTCCAATCTTAAAAAAAATTAAAAGCTCTAAGCTGTTTAGGAAAAATAACAACAATAAAAACTCCTAGAAGGGAAATATTTAACTTCAAAGAATGAGTGATAGAATTCCAGGCCCTGGTCCATTAGAAAGAACAAAAAGGATCCCATCTCTTCCACTCACATAAAAAAGGTGATCAAGTCTACCAAACAGTGTGACAGAAAGATGTTTCAGAGAGGAAAAAAAACAATAAGGACTGATGGAAAATTAAGCAACAGATTACAAACCTAAAGCAATAATTTATATGTATTTTTCTTTCATAAAATATGTATAATGATAAATTATTATTATATTGATGCTAGTTAATCAACCATGAAAAAAAGAATCAACTTGCTAAAAAAACATTGAGTTCTAGCTTTCCCGTAATTAATTTGGCTATCTATAACATTTTAGAATCACTGTAGACTGCCACTTCTTTCTAAATTAATCACTCTCTGACTTCTAAAAGACTAAAACATTGTCTATTTAGGTAAATTTGTAGGAGTTGTAAGTGGATCACCTTTACAATATTGCTCTTCATTCAACCCATTTAAAAAATACATCTCAGGACCAGGAGTTAGTGTAATCGCTATGTCGCTGGACTCCCATGTAGTCAACCTCGGTTTGCGTCCCGGACCCGGTGACTTAAACTCACGCCGGGCGCGTGTGCGTGCGTGCCCAAGATCCCAAGAGGAGAATGGAGGAGAAGGGATTGTGGCATGGCCATCCCCCTTGGGGGGTGATTTCTTGCTTTCTGTCTCTCTGTCTCTCTGGCGAGCGCACGCGCCCTATAGCGAAAACCTCTCCAAAAAAAAGAAAAAAATACATCTCATACTGCATTCAAAAGCCAGTTCATCAAATTATTAGCCTTTAATTATATGTTGGTTTCCCTTGGGAAGATTAGAAAAATTTCAAAAGAAACTGAATTAGTAATCCTAGAATTATACATCATCAGAGCTTCAGAGATGATCCCACATAAGCCTTTCATTTACAAATGGGGACAGTGAGACTTGGAGGAGGGAAGTGACTTGTTCAGGGTCACTTTTACTGTGTTGGGGTTCAGGGTTTCATCTGAAAAGCTCAGCATTCCATTTTTTAGTTGTGAAAATGTTTAGAAAGCCTAAACTATGCATTTCCCGATGTTCTGGTTTTTCTGTTCACTCACACCCTCGCCGGCAAGGCCAACCTATGAATCAAGATGATGGATCAAAGTTTCTCCTGAAATGCATCGACTCACCTTGTTAATCATCTCCTGAATTTCTGGAGTGGCAGGTTTGACCTCGGATAAGCCTCCAGGCATCATTTTGGCTATTTGTTGTTTCCCTGGGAGGATGCTGGAGCCAAAGTCATCCCATATGCCCAGCGACTCCGGCTTTTAAAGGTGTCCACCTCAAGCTCCGCCTACAGAATATTTTATTTCACACAAAGCAGAGAGGTACGTAGGAAATGAGTAAGCCTTGAGGCAGATCTTTTTGCTTACTCAACAGAATATGCTATGCAGGATTTGGAGGACGAGGGGCTGAGATGAGCTGTGCCTGCTCTGGAGTCATGCAGTAACGAGCCTCCCCTGTCTGTCAATGGCTCCATCCTGTTTTGTACTCCGAAGCCACAGCTAGCCTATCCAAATGTTTTAAAACCTCTAACACAAAATGTCCTTTTTGGAAACAAATATTTGTTAATCATTCAAAGTTGGTTGTTTTGAATTTACTTGACTTTATAAAGAATGTAAAAGGGGGACCAGCAGTTAGTGTAATGGCTATGTCACTGGACTCCCATGTAGTTGACCGCCATTCACACCCCGGACCTGGCGGCTTGAAACTCACACCGGGCGTGTGTGCGTGCGTGCCCAAGATCCTGAGAGGAGAAAGGAGGAGAAGGGATTGCGGTGTGACCATCCCCCCTGGGGGGTGATTTCTCGCTTTCTGTCTGTCTGTCTGGTGAGCACACGCACTCTATAGCAGAAAAAAAAAACCTCTCCAAAAAATAAATAAATAAATAAATAAAATAAAAAAAGAATGTGGAAGGATCTATCTGGAGGATTTTGGCTAAATACAACAAATACCTATGTTCTTATTACACAGAATGAAAACATTTAACATTTTGTCATATTTGCTTCCTGTCTTTTTTTTTTTTTTTTAAAGTTTCTTTTCTTTCTCTCATAAGACTGAAAGTGAGAGAGATGCACCTTGAACAGGTCTCACACGGTGATTCCCCCCACCCCTTGGCCTTTCCAGCCATTCAGGATCATGGGTGTAGGGGCCACCATTTACAGGTCGGTCTGGGAACTGAACCCACAACCCTCCAGTCTTCCATATGGATCCAGCATTGCTTAAGCTACACATTTCTTGAGTGACTCCAAGAAGGACCTATAGTTGTTTTAAAGAAATAAAAATATAATAGGTGTGGGGAAGCCCCATCTCCCTCCACAGAGGTCTACTATGAATTTTGCATCTTTCTAGCTCATTTATATGCTGTGTCTTTATGTTTGTAGGTTTTTGCCATGGGGTGTGTGCACTCGCTGGAGGGAGATAGAGACAGAGAGAAGGAAAGTGGGAAATCACCCGCCAGTTTGGATGGGCATGCCTCTTCCATTCTCCCCTCAGGATTTTAGGCATATACACACATATGCTCAGCTTGACTTTCAAGTTAATGGATCTGGGACTTGAACTGAGGTCGGTCATGTGGGATTCCAGCCAACCTCACCACCATACCACCTACTGGCCCCCATTTTTATACTTCTATTTAGCAGTTTTTGTTTTGGTTATTTGTTTCTTCCATGAGTGAGAGAGATAAGTAGGTAGAGAGAGAGACAGAGACAGAGAGACAACACTCTCAACAGCACCTTGATGCTGAGATCCACTCCCAGCTTCAGCTAGTCCCAGATTGTGGGTTTGTGTGAGTCCAGCATATTCAGGGAGGTCTCTGGATGTGAATTTAGAACCTTCTCATGTGGGTCAACCTTGCTGCCACACCCTGTCCCCCTTAGCATGATCTTAACATTTTATTTAAATTGTCTGCTAACCATATATTTCATATTATGATCTTTTTCTGCTCAACATGTTTTTGAGTCTTTCCATGTTGATACACAGATCAATCTAGTTCATTTCCTTTAAATGCTATGTGCTATTCTATGCTAGATTTATTCTATCTAACTGCAGTATGCTACGTGCTGTTTCATATTTTATATATGTATTCCTGTGTTAGTGAAGGTTTTGGTTGCTCCAGGTGTCTCACCCTTATAAACAATATTGCATTTCCCCTTTTTACGCATGCAAAGGGCTTCTGCAGGCAACATATCTAGAAGCAAAACTAGCATGTTGTGTGAGTATTTACGTAATTGTATTCAGTTTGGGGATGTAATACATGCACACGGTAAGAATGCTCAAAAGGAACCAAAGAATTTAAAATGCAAGGAAGTCTTCACCCATTTAATTCCTCAGCCACCATTCCATGAGTGATAGAGATGAAGAGAGAGCGGCAGAGACAACACTTCCAACAGGGTTTTGACTCCACAATCCACCTGCAGCCTCCGCAGCCCTGGATCACAGGCATGTGTGTGCCTGGTGTTCTCAGAGATGTCTCCAAGTGAACCCGGAACCTTTCCACGTGGGTTGTCCTTGCAGAGTGTTGTGTTTTACTGCTGTGCCACTATCGGGCCCCTCCTCACCCTCTACCCTCCAGAGACAACTACTAACATCACTTTCCTGTGTATCCTTCAGAGAGGTTCTCTTTTTAAAAGAATTATTTTATTTAACTCTATTTATTTATTTTAATTTGACCAGAGAGGGACAGAGCAAGAGAGAGTGAGAGAGGGAAAGTGAGAAAGCAATCCACCAGGTCCAAGACTCGAACCCCGGTCAGCCATGTGGGAGTCCAGCATCCTTAACCACCACGCCATCTGCCATCCCCAGAGAGGTTCTTTATACGTACAAAAATATAAATAATTAACCACACACACTTATGTACATACATATATATGTGTATATATTTTCCTCATCCCCAGAGAGGTTCTTTATATGTACAAAAATATAAATAATTAACCACACTCACTTATATACATACATATATATGTGTATATATTTTCCTCTATACAAATGGTACCCTATTATACAATTATTGCACTCTCTGCTTTACTCCTAGTAATATATTTTAGATATTGTTCTGTATTATTGCACAGAGGTGTGGCATTATAATGATGTTTGACAGGTGCTTAGCAAATTCTTAGGGATGGTAGGTGTCTTAGTGCTAGTCTAAGGGGCACTGAATGGGTGATTAGCCATAGAATGTGGTGAAAAGAGAATAGCAAATGTGATGACAAGGTGCTTGCTCAAGGCCACGTGTCATCTGAAGATTTCAGCTCAGCTTTCATGAGCTACTGGCTCTGGCCACAGAAAAATTCTTGACGATATCCTCATGCTGGTTCTATTAATTTTTAAGTGGTTTTCCCAAGCCACATCCTCTCACACCCTGGCTCCAACATTTTTCAAGATGGCAACCCTTTTTTCATCTTTGCTTACCTCCTAAACCAGGCCATCCTTATCAAGTCTTCCCAATGGTAGGGGATAGGGTAGGCGTCAAGACTTCTTTCACTTTATAGGGTCTATGCCCTGTTACTCTCAGCTCTTCTCTCTTGATTCTCAATAATTTATGATAGAAGTAAATCTGCCCTAAAGCAAATGTTGCTTTAGTGTTTTTCATTCCCACTATAATCATCCTAATTCTTCTTAAGGCAGCATGGATGCCTCCCACTGACTGAGGAGAGTCACATGCAAGGAAGTGCAGAAAAGAAGAACACAGCAATTAATATCTCTGTGTAAATTATTATTATTATCATTATTGGAGTGAGATTTTTTCTATAGGGAGAGTGCATTCGATGGAGACACAGAGAGAGACAGAGAGAGAAAGTGAGAAATCACCCCCTAGGGGAGAGGGCCATGCTGCAATCCCTCCTTTATTCTCCTCTTGGGATTTTGGACATGCACACACATGCACCCGGCGTAAGTTTTATTCTGCCAGGTCTGGGACTCAAACCGTGATGGACCATGTGAGAGTCTGGCATCTTAACCACTATGCCACCTGCTGGCTCCTCTGTGTAAACTATTTAAGCTAATCATACAATTAACTGAACACATAATTATTTTTAAAGTATCTTAAAGATTACCCTTGGGATTTTTTTAAGTTATGAATGATTCAATCTATCTTTATGGAGTTAGACATTCTCATATATTCTATATTTCTTGTCTGTGAGCTCGTCTTCTACAGGGGCAATTTTTATGGGAGTTTTTTCTTTTGTGTGTTAGGCTGTGGGACTTGGCTTTACTGGGTCCTGTGAGAAGCACAGGCCCCAAACCAGCTCTTTTGTATTTTACTATTGGCTTAGAGCTCTTGAACCATGAAACTGCCAAGAATTTGGGCTTGTCTCCAGCTTTCGATGTAGGTCTGTTGCTCTGGTGAGCCCAGCCAACTTTGCTTCCATGCATTGTCAGGGGTGGCGGTACACTCACTCACCAGACAACCCATCCTTCCCACTCCTAGGTTTCTATCCAGGAGAAAGGAAACATTCGTCTACACAAAGACTTTTATATGTGTACAAATGTCCATAGCTGCATTATTCATAAGATCCCCAAACCAAAAACAAACCCAAATGCCCTTCAACAGGTGAATGGCAGCTACAACAACAAATTATAGTGTATCCGTAGGATAAAATACTATTCAATAATAAGGCAAACAAAATTGTGATGCATTCAATGATACAGGTGTACCTATAGTGCAGCAGTTAAGCGCTGCATATAGAAAGTGGGCTCTCAGGGTCAGGAGGTGGCATGGTGATTGGGGCACTGGATTCCCACACAGCCAATTGCCATTTGAGTCCTGGCCCTGGTGGCTTGAAGGTCACACCGGGCACATGTGTGTGCATGCCCAAAATCCCTGGAGGAGAATGGAGGAGAAGGGATTGTGGTGTGGCCGTCCTTGAGGGGAGGGGATTTCTCACTTTCCCTTTCACTGTGTCTTTCTGGCAAGGGCACGCAACCTATGGCAAAAACCTAAAAATAAATAAATAAATAAATGAAGTCAGATCTCACATGGCCGAATGCATTTCAAGGCTTGGAAAAATACACTAGTGTGTGTGTAGTCATAACTAAGATCCTGGTGGGATGAAGAAACGGAGGAAAAATGATTGTGGAGTGACCACACTCTCTTGAGGAAAGCGTTTTCTCTCTCTGGCTAGCATTCTAGCAATAAAAGAAAATAAGAAAGACTTGTTAGCAATATAAATGAACCTCAAAAGAAAAGAAAACTGAAAAGGAGTCAAGTGAAAGAAGTCAGACACAGAAGACAATGGACTGCATTGTTCCACTTATATGATATCCT